CTTCTCCGTGAAGCCCGCTGCATAGCAACAGGCCAAAGGTCAGGGCTGGCAAACAATGTTTGGGCAGTGCTTTGATGTGCTCAGGCATGGTCCAGCCAGAGGCTCAATGGACACAAAGAGGCTGAGAAGGGCAGTCAGATAGCACTGCTCCATTCTTCTCATCACCTTTAGCCTTTGACCTCTGCACCCCTGCGAGAGATCACATTTCAAGGATGGCCAGTTGCATTCAGACAGGTCTTTTTGTCCAATCTTAAGGATACTGCGGGAATAATTTGTTCATTTTTAGCAGAAAGAAGCATATATTTGTGAATAAAAATGAAGATAAGCATTAAGTAACATCTCAAAGCATAGTGATGGACTAGGTGTCACATTCACAGACCACCTGTCCTAAATAAGTTATCATTACAGCTACACTTCCACCAGTTCTACAAAGTCAACTGCGTCTATATGTGCAGAAAATACCACTCTGTCCCTGAACATTGTGAACATTGCTTCACAGAGCCCAAACACCATCTATTCCTGCCAAAAAAGAAGCTGTCCAGTGTCTTAATAACAGATATATGTCATCTCTTGACAGCTGAAGTAAGTGGTCAGTTCTGAATTTCAAGATGCCCTTTGTTCAGATCAACACCTGAGGCTCTTGTTACCGATTTCTATAATTACTACTTCAGTTTGACAGATAGTTTGGACTTTTGGAGCCTGAAAAGGCTTTTGTTTTCTTGTGACATGACTTGTGAGAAATAAAGGCTATCTCCGTCCAAATGGCTGAGGTTGTTTTCGTATCAGTGGTTTTTGGCTTTTGAAACACCCTCGCATGGTAATTCGGAGAACTTGAGAAATGGAGAAAACTTTGGAGAAATGGTGGCGGAGTGTTAGATCTCATTAGTACGTTTTTGTATGATTACACCCCACTGACAGATTAGGGGTGGACATTCATGGCACTTTCATATAAAATTCATACAAAATCATCATGTTTTTTATGCTTTCTCATGTTATCGGGTTGGCTTTTGTGGAAACTAGAAAGAGGATCAACATCACACTGAATCAGTTTACCAATCAAGTATAAGAAAGCTTCATATATCATAGAATTATCTGTAAAATATTAATGACAATACACTAAAAATAGTACATTAAATGAAGCAAAACTACCAACAAACAGGCTAACTAATATAGACATGCTACATATTCTACTTGAAAAAAAAGCTAAAAGCACAATACAACTGCATCATTACTAAATAATAATTTAAATGCAATATGTCAGACTAATCAGACAAATGTGAGGGAGTGACAGTACTTTTTCCTAATGCAAGCAGCACATTTGATTTGCAGTTTCAGCTCTCAAATTTTACTGCATCATAAATGCTGAATTTCCCTCATTAATATTGTTACCCTTTTGCCGCTTGGATATTAGTATAAGTTAATTTATTTGCAGATGCACACAATGACATGAGGCAAAATGCTCAGTATTGCTGTAAAAATTGTTCTAGTGTCTAAATGTTTTTTAAGAAGTGCACTATACTTTTTTATTTATATCGGTTGAATATTGTATTGTAAAGGTGGTGCTTTTACAGCCATATTTTTAGGAAACTCACTGCTTTGTCCTTGAGAAAAGAGATAAAATGTTTGTTTTGTCTAGTTTGAAATGGAGGGAAACCCAACAAATCAGAGTTTACATTTAAACTTTCATACTCTTTCACAATATAGAGTATACTTCTTATAAATGGGATAAGAATAGGGAGAAATACACAATTCTTTCAGCAGCTATTTGTAATTGTATTAGACAAAAGCTTTTATTTAAATAATCTAATTTAAACAATTTAAATAATAATAATAAAAAAAAAAAGTTTAGAAAGAGCCCTGCTGTCAGATATAAATTGAATCAAATTATGGACAGAGTGAAACTCTACAGGGAATTAAACTAACCTTAGTGTGCAACAGGTTAGCACTGTCAGCATGTAATATGATGAACAGAATGAAACATTTAATAAAATCCTCTACTGCAGATCAATGACAGTATGGCCATTAACTCTTCAAAACATATACAGTGCCTATTAATTACACCAAAAGTGGTAAAACAATGTAGTTGTTTTCTCTTTGCATTTCATAAGTATTAATTTAAATTATCGAGATGTTGACTTTAAATTATTTAATTTCTCAATCAAAAAGTTACATTAGTTGTTAGTATGAAAGTTGTGTTACAGAGTTTGCTTTTATCGGATAGCCTTTAAAAGTCTTTAAAAATAAATACAGTCATAGTTTTCGTAGGGGGTGTGCTGCGATCAGAGAACATCAGGATGGAAACAGCAGACTTTAACATATATTTATATTTAATATACTATAGATCAGGTCATGCAATGACACTAAATGCAAGCACGATCTTACCTTTAATTCACTAGAAATGCACTCAGATATTCCTGGGGAAATTGACTGGGATCGGGCTGTTCATGTACATATCTCCGAGATGCGCGATTCAGCTGCCTCGCCTCCGCTGAGCACGAGCAGTCAGCCCTGCTGTGAAAATGCCGCTGGCCGTGCTGGCCGTGTGGTCATTTCTTACAGCGAACGGGACACCCCTCCGTCCTGTTGTGATGGAATCGCCCCTTCATCCTCTGCCGTGATGATCTCACCCCTTATGTCTCTGTAGAGATGGTATCGCCCAACTTCACCGCTTGAGTAGCGTGGTTTGGAAAGGCTTTGAGAGTTTATGGAAACTGTCAGGTAAGTTTCTACTTTTTATCATAAGTAATAAATACGCAGTCCACAAATGCGTTGCGTCAGTACTGTTACTGAAGTAAAACCATGGTCCAAATAAAAACAAAATGAGTGACAATACTGTGATATTTAGTTGTGCTGCGCTTTTCTGGTCTTTTTTAGATAACAATATATCAATATATTTTTTACTTGACATATATAGGGGTCCCAGAGTTTTTCATTAACCTTATAAACAGACACAAGTGTATGAATATGTAATTTATCGAAATATTGACGTGACAATGGATTGTTATACAAAGAGCACGTATACACTTCCACATCTGATAATAATATACCTTTATTTGACCCTCTAACTCTTAACACTTTCTATTCTATTTTAATTCTACTTTATCTATATTTATCTTTTTTTTACTTTTTTATTCTTTATTAAAAAAAACCACCAAAAACCAAAAACTAGCTTTCTATTTTTTCTATTCTATCTACTTGTTTTTC